CCCTCCCCGTCCCCCCCCCCCCCCAGCTGGGGTCCTGGCTCTGGCTCCTACTGCAGCATCACCCAGGCAGTTAATTAACGCACCCCTTGCCTCAGTGTCCAGGAAAGACGTTAAACGACGTGGCACCCGCCGCCCCCCCAGCCTCACCCCCTGCCATGTGCTGACGATCTCTGTCCCTTCAGTGTACTGTAAAATTGCCCCCATCTCAGGCAATGGGGTTTCGTTATTTGGGTAGGATTTCATGAGGCACCGTGTCCAAGGCTTCTTGAAGCCCAGATCTGTTCTGCCCTCCCCGCACGCCCCGCCAGCGTATCCATTTCTTTGGGTCCCTGGTTTTGGCTGGGCATGAGCTGCTCCCGACCTCCCTGCGGCTGCTGCCCCAGGCCCTCATCCCCTCCTCACCCAGTGCTTCCGGCTCCAAGCAGGGGACACCTTCCCGAGGGAGATGATGCAGGAAAACCACCCCCGTATGCACACACAGAGGGAAGAGCGGCGATGCCCCTCCATCCTGCAGGAAGCCACCGGGACAGGCACAAGGACAATGCCGGGAGCGATTCAGGTCCTTCATCCCATGGGGCAGAGGAGGAGGAGGATGCTCCAGGCCCCGGTGGGGAAGCTGCAGCAGGAATCACCTCTGTGCCCGGCACCCCCTGGCCATCCCCGCTCTGCCGTGCTCTCCATACCATCCCTGCGGGAGCCGCAGCGGCTGCCGTGTCCCGGGGCTCGCGTGGCCGGGCTCCGCCACGTGTGACACGCGTCTCTGAGTAACTTTCACGCCGTGTAAACAAGCCGTGAGTCAGCGGCCGGGCCGGCCGTGCGGTTTCCCCAGCCTAAATGCTTCCTCTGCCGCGGTGGAAGGAAGGACCAAACTGAGCCTCCAGGGGAGAGCTGGCAGCGCCGTAAAACGTAATGAAATCGTGTGGGGCTGAACTGGGTCCAGGGGAGCCGGGAGTCGGTAAAACCTCCAGGTCATTAGAGCGTCTCTGGCTCCTCGGAGAGGCTGTGGGGAGGTGCTGCTGGAGGGGCAGAGCAGTGGGAAGGGCAGCGCCTGCTCTGCTCCTCTTTGGTGCTGGCCATCCTGCCGGGCTGCTGGCCACCTTCTGGTACTGGCCAGATGGAGGATGCCAACTCAGCTGGCCCCTTCCTGCCCAGGGGTCTTCTCCAGAGCGCTCCTGGAGTCCCACACCAGCATAACCCAGCACATCAGGGACAAAGCTTGCTCAGGAAGGGGTGGGAGATGCTGGTGCATCGACCCCATCACCAGACATGGTCCCTGCAGCCGCATCCCGCTGCCAGTCGGGCGGACGAGGGCACAGGGGCTGACGGGCTCCACGCACGGGGCCGGGGATCAGTCCCCAGGGTGTCTGGGAAAGCCAAGGCGAGTGGCCATCCCGCACAGCGGGGCACAGGCCGCGTGGTGAGCGAGGGCTGATCCCAACCCTCCCCTGAACCATGGGAAAGCATCCGACAGAGCCCCTGGAGGGGCTGATCCCTCATGGCCCACGGATGCCGGGGGCCAGCGTGGCTCCCGCAGCCCGACCTCGCAGCGCCGGCCATCGCCGGGGGAAGGAGGGTTCTACCACGGGCTGCAGGACGGCAGCAGCCACGGCCGAGGGCGATCCCGGCCCCGCCAGCCTGGCAGCCCCACGGGACCCCCGGCCCTGGCTCTCGGCAGCCGAGGTTTGGCCAGCGAAGGGCAGAGCCGCTGCAGGGCACGTCTCCCCACAGAGCCCCCGTCTGCCCCCCAGCCCTCGTCAGAGGAGAAGCTTAATTGCTTACATAGCCCAGGCTTGCAGTTAGTAGAAAAACAAAACATGTTTTTCACATTAAAATTTGCCTTGAAAAACAATGGTTTAAATCAAGCGTAAGAAAAGCAAAGAATCCAAAAAGAAAAAGAAAAGGGAAATTTTTGGTGGAGCCCAAAAGCAGTGCCCAGAGACCCTGAACTTCCCCCGAGCCTCTGCCATCGCTGCTCCGGAGGCAGGTGGGCTCCCGCCGGGATGGCTCGTGCCACAAGATACGGGCACGTCACCAACCCGCCACTGCCAACCCCTGCCCGGCGGAGAAGTCCCGCATCCAGGGATGGGAGCAGGCCGGGACCGCTTGCTGGCAGCTTCCCTCAGACCCCAGGGCCGGTGGCGAGGACGGGGCACAGCCCGGACCCGCTGCTCACAGGTTATCGGGAGCTGCCGGGGCGGGATCCCGACCTGCCCGGAGGGGCCAAGCTCGGGGAGACGAGGCGGGGGATGTAAATCTCCTGATCTGTCTGTGAGCGAATTCAAAGGGAGACCGATTCAAATCCGCCGTGACATGACTGGCTCGGGGCTGGCAGACAATCCCTGCAGTGTTTGTAACAAATCTTGCCGCTTTCCTTTGAGTGGCCTCCAATTTATTAATTAAAATAGGCAATTATATATAATGTGGGGTGGAGGGGAGCGGGGAGACCAGCTGCACCAGTTATTCTCACTTGGCAGGAACCGTGCTGGAAGCTGCTCCGGGAGGTGCTTGTGCTTTCAAGGGCTGGAGGCAGAGCCTGGGAGGGACCCTGCGCTCGCAGCCGCCCCCGGGTCCCCCTGGCACGGCCGGGCGCTGAGGGGGCTTCAGCTACAGCCACCACGTTATTGAAGCAGGGTCAAGACCTTTTAGAAAATGACTTGCCCAGGGAGCTGGCAGCAGCGCTGGAAGCTGCACCCAAAGTTGCTGGGATTTGCCAAAAGCAGCGGCTGCTGCCAGCCCCATGGGGCAGGAGCGTGTGGGGCTCGGGGGGGGGGGGGGGGGTTTTCTGACTGTTGCCATCCAGCAACAGGAAAGACAAGGAGCCAGAGACCCCAGGCTTCACCCGGTGTGTCCGCGTTTATCCAGACCCTGCAGCAGCAAACGGGTGGGATTTACCCGGCACCTCGGTGCTCCCTGCAGGACCCCAGGGTGTGGTGGGAACCGAACCCCGTGGGGGTGGTGCGGTGCCCGTGCCCCTGGATGGTGCCCCCGGGGGGTCCAGCCACACGGCGCGTTGGCTCCCGCCGCGACCGCACGATCGGTGCACGTACACGTACCCGCCCGTGCCGGAGCCCGCCGGCAGCCGCACCACCACAGCCCGTGGCCGTTCCCCGCCAGCCCCTGGCACGGTGGCACTGTCTGAATTAAGTAATGTCTCGGGACGTGAGCTCATCGCCAACACCCGCGGCGGCTCCCACGTGGCACCCACCGCTCTCCTCCTCCCGACACCCGCTCCCTCCGCAGCAGCACCCGCTTTCACCTTCCCCGCAAAGCCCCGGCCGGCTACGTGCCAGGCCCTGGCCAGCAGCCCCACATCCACCCCTGTTGCTGGCAGCCCCACGCTGCCAAGACCTGGACCACCACCACCTCTGCTCCCAAACACCTGCAGATCTCATGGTGGAGGCTGATGCTCCCCCGGGTTCCTGTGAGGGATCACAGAGGGGCTTGTAGCCCCCTCCCCAGGGAAGCCCAGATGGGATCACAGAGGGGCTTGTATCCCTTTCCACGGGGTAGCCCAGGTGGGATCACGACTCAGAGCTGCCGGAGGAGCCTCCCAGCCCGTCCCATCCCCTCGGACAATGACAGGCCCAGGACATTTTCTGCTGCACTTGGCCAAAACCGTCCTCTTTCCCTCCCGCTTTCCCCACACGGAGACGGCCGCTTCGCCCGCCTGGCTGCTCAGGGAGCGGGCTCTGTCTAACGATGAATCGATACTAATTGGGGAGGTGTCACCTCTTCGTCAGTCCTCTCACAGGAGGGTGCAGTTCGCTGCTTTCTGCAGCACCGTGGGAAAATCCTCCCGCTCCCCGGGGTGACTCAAACGTGCTCCCGACCGGAGCCGGCTCCCTCGGGGGGCAGGCAGGGGACAGCCCGGCACAGAGCCCCAGCTCCCGGCATGTGCAGCCCCTGCCGGAGCGGCAGCAGAGACGGGGTGCATCTGCCCAGGCCCCCCGTGTCCCCAGAAGGGAGGGACCGCAGGACACAGGGCTGCCCGGGGAAACAACGACCCCCGGGGAAGGGCTCTCGTGTGGGGTCCCCTCCCCGGGGGGGATATGGAGGGTTGAGGGCAGGGCAAGGGACCCCAAGGCTGCATTTCGGGGGGCTCGGGCCAAGCACTGGAGAAGCCACAGCTCTAAGGAGAGGCTTTGTGCCCGACCAGGCTCCCCGAGCCCAGGGACGAGGTGGCCCTGCGATGGAGGGTCCCTGCCCCGAACCGCACAATCCCACCCCAATCAGCCGAGGGGCTGGGGGGCTCTTCTCGACGGCTGCGTGCTGAGGTGTCGGGGCGGCCGCTCTGCCCCTCCTTATCTCCACCTGCATTAATATCCGTCGCCATTTGCATCCCGACGAGTCGTTGCCACGTTCGGCTTCCGCAGCTCCTGCGTCAGGGAATTCCAGAGGGACAAAGTCAGTGGAGCCGGATCCTTCCCTCCCCAATCCCACAGGCACCCGGCGCCCATTTGATCAAGCGGCAACTTGTCCTCCCACCGTCAAACCGGGCGAGGAGAAACGCGTCCACGTTCTGGGCCCGGCCGGGAGCTGCCCCCCGGGGGTGCGTTGCCCCGGCCGGGGCCGCGGGGGGCTCTGCGGGCAGCCGGCCTGTCTGGACCCACCCCCCCAAGCAGGGCGTCGGGGACCGGCTGCCAGATTTCCTCACGGCTTGTAAATAATTGCTAACGCGCCTTATCAACAGCCGGGATCATCAATCACCCCGTAAGCGGCTGCGAACGGGTCCCGCCGTTGCAATTTCCACACAATGGCCGGACCCCGACAGAAGTCGCCCACCGGCTCCCGGGCCCTTCCCCGCCAGCGCCCACCCCCCGCTCTGTCCCCGCTCCCCGACAGGCCCGGGGGGACCCTCGGAGGGGGCTTTTCCCCGGGCTCCGGGGCTGCTCCACGCGTCCCCCCCCGAGAAACGGCGGAGCCGCAAAACCCGGGCGGAAGATGCCACCTGCTGGAAGCGGGGCTGGGGCCACG